CTGACTGGATCATTTCAAATGGCTTGCCTTCAAGTTTGCTGATTCTTCTGCTCGATAGTGAGTCTGCTGTTAAGCTTCTCTAGTGAATTTTTCAATTCAGTTACTGTTTTCCTCAGCTGCAGAGTTTGTGTGGTTCTTTTTTATAGTTTCTCTCTCTTTGTTGATATTCTCACTTTGTTCATACATCATTTACTTGATTTCATTTAGTTGTGTTCTCTTTTAGCTCATTGAGCATCTCTATGATGGTTATTTTGAATTCTCTGTCAGATAACTCATAGATCTCTATTTCTTTAGGGTTTGTTTCCAGAGACTTATCTTGGTCCTTTGATTTGGCCATGTTTTCCTCTTTCTTTGTATGCATTGTGATCTTTTGTTGAGATTTGGATATTTGAAAAGAACAGCCACTTCTTCATCTTTATGGATTATCTTCATGCAGGGGAAAATCTTCACCAATCAGCCCAGCTAGAGATTCAGTAGGCCTCTCCAACCTTTTCTGGGTTGTGTCTTCTCTAGGCTTGTGTGTATAATTTCCCAGCTGAAAAAATGTGCCTGTTTCTACTCACCAACTTCCCTTGGTGTCTGTGTGCAGTCTGCAATCTCTCTGATGCTGTGGCAAGTCAAGAGGCTCACCTTTGTTCTCAGTGTCCCCCAGGCATCCAAGGTGTATTACCACCTTTCTTGTCAGTGCTCTGAGTCAGGTAAGATAGAAACCACTCTTTGGAAGCACCCTGAAAAGCCAGAACATTAGACACGTGTTCCATCTTTCTTTTCCCAACCAAGGGAGAGAGAGTGGGTTGGGAGTTTTCTTCTAATCATGCTGCATATGCTGGGAATGAAATGGAGTTTAGTGGGTAAATGCTATGGACTTTCCTACCCACTCCAATGCATCTCCTTTTTGGCCTTGCACTCATCTGGGGGTGCTGTAACCTCTCAACTGGCCTTTGATGTTCTTACAAAGGCAATTATATGGCTTATATATCTGGTCCATATTATTGTTAAATCAGTTTCTCCATGGGGAAGGACTGTCTGGGGCTTCCTATTCCACCCTCTTGCTAATGTCACTGTTTCTCTCTGTATTCATTAGTGATATGAGCACTTGCACTTTTGTAGGTTTTTCTTTAAGGTATCTGTTCATCTTGGCAGCTGATTATAATTTTCCTTAAAGTTAATTCAAATTTGCTTCTACCTGTGCTAATACATGTCTTCTTATGAAATCCTTGTCACTCATCACTGCTCAGTGTTTATAATTGTTCAACAAATGTGACAGGTAAATATTTCACAAATCCCTCAACTGAACATTCTTCTTAAGGGAAGGCAACATGGTGTTCCTTTCTCTGCTAAATAATATAGTGGAACAATTAAAATAATGTTGGTCAGGCATACCTTATTCTTTCCTTTCTTGAATCTTACAGTTTGTTGCTCCCTTATCTGTTTTATCATAATCCTCTCTCCCCAAGAACATTTAATAGTTTTCATCCTGTGCCTTTTTATCCATCTTCAACCCATCTGCCAAGTAAACACAAGAGTCAGGAGTCCTTTATGTCCATAGAAGGTATAAGTGGTTTTAGGGTTCATAAAAGCAGAATGCTCAAGAATCATGTTAAGTTTATGAGTGCTGAAACTAAGTAAAGGAATTCCCTCCTCTCCAAAAACCCCAAATCTTGCATGGTGGGGATACTATAGTAACAGTGGGAGAAATATTCAAGAAAATGGAAAATCCAGACATAATGGAATAACAATAACAATATTTTTACATGTAAAAATGGGGAGATAGTGACTGGGAATAATGGCTTCTGTGCAACTGTGTCACTCTTCAGAAAGAACACAGAGGGGTAATTGCATCCTTGTAGTAGGCAATAGAATGAATCCCCCAAATGAGTGCCTTCATTTCCTTAGAACTTTCTTAAGTGCCTTTTGCACTCACACTCTGACTCTGACACTAAACTGGTTCACCTTTGCCTTGCAGTTAACAAGGGAGTTTGAAGAGCTCTAATGGGCTTTACTCCTGGTCGATCTGTAGATCTCCACTAAGTCAGGTATTTTTTGGTTATATGACCTTGTTGGAAGAGTCCTCAATTAGCAGTTGGGGGATCTAGATTCTTGTCCATGATCTCCCCTAAAACTTTCTATCTGATCTTTTCCCAGGAATCAATTGGCTCTCCATGACAGTCCATATTTATTTTGAAAAAGACAGGGGAGATGATCAAACAGACATATTGCTAGTAACTGAAATAGTCAAGGCCATCTCAGAATTGGGGGACTTGGGCCATGAAAATGAATATTTTTCCTCTACATCAACATTATTTATCCTTACTCCTAATGCCTGGTGGTTAGACTACTCATGGGGTGGAGCAAGAGTCCCAGAGTAATTTTATGTAAAGTTTTTAGGTTGTGGTGTATACAGAGTGCTGGAATTGAGGAATAACCATTTACAAGGAAGAACTAATTCCTTAAGTTTAATATTTCTTATGTTTCCCTGGGAAGACCTACTCAGAACCAGACGGATAGAACAAAGAAATAATCACTTACTCTTGAAATAAGCTGCATTGTTACCCTAAAGATGGATTTTTATTCTGTTCAATTAAACACCATTTTTTTGTCTCCTACTATGAACAAAGTACAAAAATTTCTGACTTTATATGTAACTTATGTCACAGCTTTGTTATCAGGAAAAGTGACATGAATAATATTCTTGCTTTTCTTCACTTTCATCCTAGGACTTAGGCCAGGTGCTTCACTGCTCTGAGCCTCAGCTTTCTTAGCTGAAACACGAAAATAATAATCTACCCCTTACACAAGGGGTAGAGGAAAAACATGGGAGGATGAGCAAGATAATGGTAAGTCTTACTATAGAGCTTGGATATAGGTGGTATTCAATAAATGTTAATTTCCCTTTCATTCTGAATTCTGGAAGATTTTTAGTGGAGTAAGTGACTAAGTTGAAATATTTTATAAATCCAAGTAATATTAAAAAATAGTAACTATTACTAAAACAGATTCACTAACACCATACAAAGCTATGGGCAGGTGGACTAAAGTGATGGAAAATGAACAAATTATTCCCAAAGATAAATGGGAAGAAAGATAGAATTCAGTAAAAATAGAGAAGGGGCAGTCCAAAAGAAATTGCACACAGATGAATAGATAAAAAATGTCTGAAGCGGGAGAGTGTTTCATTAAAACTCTTGGTGGGATGAAGCAGAAAACTAGGACTCCATGGAAAAGATATATATTTTAAGGATTTACTACTTGCATTCACTTGTGGCCAACTGTTCCTGTAGGGTAGGGATCAATGACACAATATATGCTTGTAGTCACTCTGGGTCCCAGAAAGAATGAAATTATAGAAACTTGGGGTTTAGTGTTGTTACAGCTGTTGTTGACAGCTGTTATTAACAGTTGCAACTCCATCTCCTAGAAAAAACTTGACAGGTGGTATTGGCTGAGGATGGACATCCATGGGGATTGTCTTGGTAAATTCAGACCCAGGGAATTGCTGGTGTGGTGTTGGATTAATAACTGGCTGCTATCATAATACATCATATAATGTCAACATGCTTTTAATGTTATCTCATCAAGTAAGATAGGGCATGCAATGATACCCCACTACATGCGGAGAAATTGAGGAAAGAGACACATTCTTCTCTGAATTCTACCTGCACTTTTACTCAGACCGAATTATTGGCTCTGATTCTTCACTCTGGATCTACACTCTATTCCACATAACTTTGCAATTCTTCTTATAAAAGGTAGAATGCATTTTCTTTGGATGCTGGAATGAGAGCAGAAGTGAGGGTTCATCAGTTCTAAGCCTAGAATGAAGAGGTCTGGCATATTTTACTCACTCTATTATATTTTTACCATCACCACAAGAAGACCTTCCCTTTAGTAGCTGTTGCTGTCTCAATCTGGGACCCAGAATAAATAAATAAATATCAGAGCCAATAATTCAGTCTGAGACACTGCTAGACCACTTATCCAGATCTTGAGAAGAGAAAATGAGCTGGTTAATCAGTCATACAGCTCACACTCATTGAGTTCTAACTTTGTGGATGAGTTCTGGATAGTATCAGTTATCTATTGCTGTGTAATGAACTATAGAAAAACTTAGTGACTTAAAACAACCATTTTATATTTTTCTTTTAAACTTTTTGTATTATAGTATAGTTAATGCACACTATTACATTAGTTTCAGGTACAACATGGTGATTTGACACCTCTATGTGTTATGCTATGCTCACCACAAGTGCAGCTGCCATCCAACGGAAGTTTCTGTGATGATGGAAATGGTCTATAGTCTGCACCATCCAATATGGTAACTGTTATCAACATGTGGTTACTGAGTGCTTGAAATGTAACTGGTGTGACTGAAGAACTGAATTTCAAAATTAAATTTTAGTTAATTAAAATCACACAATTTATTTTTTTAAAGATTTATTTATTTGTGAGAGCGAGAATGAGAGAGAGAGAGAGTACATGAGAGGGGGGATGGTCAGAGGGAGAACCAGGTTCTTCGCTGAGCAGGGAGCCCGATGTGGGGCTTGATCCCGGAACTCCGGGATCACGACCTGAGCCGAAGGCAGTCGCTTAACCGACTGAAGCCACCCAGGCGCCCTCACACAATTTAATTTAATTTAATTTTAAATGTGGCTAGTGGTTGCTAAACTGGGCAGCACAGTTCTAGAGGGCAGTGTGCTGGCCAACCCCACTACATTATGAAACTTTAATAAATATTACTCATTAAAAAGCAAAGCCTATTGAAAGGCCAAGCCTTTCCAACAAGAACCACAGGTTTGCTGCCCCTCCTTCAGCTCCTGCTTCAGAGCTGAGCAAACCAGGTGCTGCCAGTCAGCACATAAAGTGATAGAGGTTAAATTTCCAGGGCCAAGAACCACTCATTCTGAGGAAGGTTTTTATGGCAAGAGTCGCCACCATCTAAAGAAAATGGACCCTAGTACAATGGGCCTGCACTGTTTTCAAGCCTCCTGGGCAAGTTCTGGAGCATGCAGCAGCCGCTGATAGGAACCACCTTCTCCTGCTTGATTAGAGACTCAGAACTCAAGTCACAACATTTGGTGGCTCCTATTGTTTAAAAACCCAACCCAACCCAAACCAAAACAAAAAGCAGAAAACATTTATAACTGAACTCATCTGAACTCATCTTTATGCTCCAGGGTTGGAAAATAATCCAGGATGGTTGGAATGTGAAGTTTGTTTTCAGATATGCTATTCCCCAGTTTAGGCAAAAATGGGGTGTGTTGAAAAAGGCCTTCTCAGAAGTCTATATGGACTTCAAGAATGAGAGTGCAAATGTTCTGGACCATGTCCCCTGAAACAGATTTTTCACTTTTCAGCTCTTTCTGATCAGAAACTCTTCCTCAAAGGGTGTGAATTATGGCTGCTGGTTTGATGACCTTTAAGCACTGGTACCAGATCATTCGAGAGACTCTCTAGACATTACCCAGACATTTTGCCTCAGTTTCCCTCTTTTGTATTCTTTTAAACCTGTACTGATTTTCAGCTACCAGAAAGCTATCCTCTTAATGGCCCCATCCCATGTCTCCAATGAGTGTATGCTCACTCTGGTCACCATCTTGGCACATCTCAGCATCCAGCTCCATCGCCCCATCCTGCATTGAGCTCCAAAGGCTCTTCCCAATTTCCTGAAGGCTGTGGTGCTGGCACAGTGCAATCCTGTGCTTCAGTACTCATCTTGTTTTCTCATCTGGTACCCCTTCTGTGTCCTTGACTTTGCAAGTGCACAGCAGGAACTTTGCAGGAGCTACCTAAGAGAGCCCCTGGGAACCCATCACCTCCTTGCATCTTGCTTGATGTCGGCACAAGAAGGAGCTCAGTGGATGCCTGACATTAGATAGAAGGGCTAAGAGCCACAGGTCTGCATTTGCAACCAGGTGATTTGGCATTTCTGGGCTTCGGTGCTTCATGGTAATGATCTGCCATGAGCAGACCAGCTGAGAGGAGGGTTTCTGAAGGAAAGGCAGTGGAACATGTGCTTCTGGGCAGCATGGTAAAAGCAGAAGACTGGATATGCCCTACAGCCTTGTTCTTTAGTGTGGTTTGGGGCAGGATAGCAGCAGTGTCACTCAGGATCTGGTTAAAATTGCCAAGTCTCAGGCCCTGCCCCAGACCATGTGAATCAGAATCTGCATTTTAACTAGATCCCCAGTGATCCACCTGCACATCAAAATTTGAGAAATGGTGGTCTAGAAGTAAACAGACATTTGGGATATACCTAAGGAGTGTGAGTCTTCATAAAAAGGAACACTTCACTTCACTGCATGTTTGAGAATTCAGTATTATTCCACAAGGGACCAGAACAAACACACTCCAAGAAAGAATGCCAAATCCAGTTCTTGGTGAACAATATTAAGCATCCTTAGTTAAAAAAAAAAAAAAAAAGCTTTACCCATATACATGGCTGAGGAAATTAGGTCTAAGGGCTAAGGGCTACTGCTGAGGGGGCGGGTGGGGATACCTACTCAAGGAGCTAAGAGATCTAGGGGAAAATGAGCCTACTTTGACTCTATTGGGTTGGTAATGTCAATCTCTGGGAATCCACTCAAGCATCCATACAGGACCACTGCTAGAAAGGAGGAAGGCACAACTGGGCAGATGCCCATCAAGAGGGATCCTTAAAAACAGGAAGTTTGGTGGAATTCTTTTGGGGGGGGTTGTCAGGAAATTATGTTCTTTGCCTCCTTTTATTACCTCCAGACATTGAAAGTGAAGAGTCTGGAAAATGAACTTGGAATTGGCCGCTAAAGAAAGAGAATAGAAAATCCTATAGGCACTTTTCAAATCAAACCCATACCAGAAAGAGACCAGCAGCTCTTGTACTTTTCAGCTAAGAAACCTTTTCAGAGCCAGTGATACTGTCATTCTGCAGGATGCTATGATAGGTCCCTTGAAAAATGTCTTTGGGCTTTGCCAACATTTACTCTGGCAGATGAATGAGAGCCAGGAAGCTCAACCTTCTCTTTCTCCATGTAGGGCAGACTCACAACAAGGCCAGAGTTGCAGCTTTTTCCAGCTCAACAAATGCTCTACCTTCTGATCTCTCATGCTAGGACAGAAGCTCATATCTCATTTCTTAGGTAAGGAACAAGTGAATTATCCATCTATTCACTCTGCAAACACAAGACAGAAGACCCAATCATGTCCCAGCAGGTGGGGTCTCATCCAATTTCCTTCACTAATGTGCTGGGTATCCCAGTGACATCAGATGACAGCTGGTATGGATGCTGCAGCTGCCTGCCCCCTAGATGAACCTCTGCCTTGCTGTCAAAGCTCCATCGTCAAGGTTCTGGTGATGTCAGTTCTTATTCTTCCTGTCTCTTTCTCTCAAGAATGCCTAATCTCTCACCATCTATATGGTTTCCCATGACAGAGCACTGCAGGATGTACTGGTTTTGAAGAGCTTTGAACTTGAGATGCTCAAGTGCAATCATTATCTCTTCAAGCCTCACCCCAAAGAAGATTGACAGCACATAGGCTCTTAAGACTCCCCAATTCATCATCTCGTTTATCCCAAAGGGAAAAGAATCACCATTTAATCTTATTTCTAACATGCTGGAAGCTGCCCTGATGATAAAAAGATCTGCTTAACTAGTCAAGGTGACGTGGGGAGGCTTTGCAGGATTATAGTTTGGATGCACAGCGAGACCCTCAGGCTAGGCAGATTTTGATGGGATTCCCAGTTGCTGAATTAACTGTGGGGATTATGGAGTGAGTCAACCAAGGAAAACTGGTCTAGTTCCTCTGAAAATGCAAATGAGGGCCTTTGTGGGGTGGGGATGGGCTGTGTGTGGGGGAAGTAGCAGAGGGGTTTTGTGATCTTTTTGGTGGGTGCTAAGTGTCTTTTTTTCTCTCTGAAGGACAAAGTGCCCTAAAACCATAGTTATCCCCCACCTTCCATTTTTCCTTTTCGATCAACTTTCTTCTCAGTTAAAATATTCCCTTGCCATCATTTAATCTGCACCCACAACATCACTTGCATGACAAGCCATAGCCAGAACTGCTCTTCTTTTAAGCCTATCAGCTGTCATTGCCAATTTAAAAAAGTTCCTTCTGTCAGTTTTCAATAACCTAAACCCAAACCCAAACGGGGCCTAGAGCTCCTTATCATATATCTGTAACCTAATGCATCAAAGGGAGGGACTGCAGCCCAGAGAAGCACCCCACAAAAGGCTGCCCAAAGTGGTTGTATGTTAGCTAAGTTGGTGCTCCAAATAGGTCAGTTGCATAACAAGTTATTCCAAAATGTGATTGCATAAATCAACCATTCCCGTGCTCACATATCCTGTAGATCCATGGAGAGAGCTCATCTGCTCTAGCTGCCAGTGGTTGGTGTGGCTTGGGGATTGGGGACTGCAGTCATATGAAAATTGATTATTCTCATGTTTGGGTCTTCTGGGCTGGAAACATTCAAATAGCTGGGGCAAGAAATCTGGGGCTCCTTGGGCTTCTCTTTCTATCCTTGTACTGTCTCTCCAGCATGGCAGCTCAGGTTAGCTGGGCTTCTTTCCTGATGTCTCAGGGCTCCAAAAGTCCATGTCCTGGGAACCTTGAGAGAGAGCAGGGGAAGCTCTATTGCTTTTTCTGATCCAGTCTGGAAAGCCAGGCAATGTCACTTCCATCTCATTCTATTTTATGGAAGTGAAGCACTAGGCATCCCACAGTCAAGGAGAAGGTAGCTAGACTTTTATTTTTGGATAGGAGAAAGGTAATGGAGTTTGCTGCCATGTCTCAAGCTACCACAGTTGGGCAGGAGTGGCATGGGGAGATGTATGGGTGCCAGGAAGTAATGGTGGGGAGGTGGCTGGGAGCTCTGGTCTGCTCTGATGGTCCACCCTGCCACAGTTTTACATTTTGGTTTGTGGGAATCTGAACCATTCAGCTCTCTCAAAGAGTAAAAACAGCTGACCACAGACCCTTTCGATTCTGAGGACAGAGTCAGATATGCCTTGTCCTGACAGATCACTAGAATGAAAAGGTTATGTTTGAGAATCTCTTCTGCTTCCCTCTGAAATAACAATTCCTGACACTGTTCTAACTATTACTTAATCCAAGAAGTACCTACCCAGTTAATCCTCACAATGGCTCCGTGGGGTAGGCATTATCACTGTGCCCATTTTTCAGATGAAGAAACAGAGGCACGTGAGGCATAAAAAATACTTAAGATCACCTAGTTGGTACCTGGTTGTTATGGGCTGAATTGTGTCTCCCAAATACATATATTTTAGTTCTAATCCCCAGTATCTCAGAATGTGACTTAATTTGGAGATAGGGCCTTTCAAGAGATGATTAAGGAAAAAGAGGTACTATGGATGGGCCCTAATCCAATATGACTGGTGTCTGTATAAAGAGAGATTCGGACACATTCATCCAGGGAAGACCACATGAACACACAGTGAGAAGATCAATATCCATCTACAAGCCAAGGAGAGAGACCTCAGAAGAAACCAACCCAGCTGGCACCTTGACCTCAGAATCCCAGCTCCACAAGTGTGAGCAAAGAGATTTCTGTTGTTTAAGCCCCCCAGTGTGTGGAACTTTGTTAGGCAGCCCTAGCAGACTAATACATGGTGACACGGGAATCTGAACCTAGCTACCCTGACTCTGGTCCACATTCCCACCCATTCTACTCCTGGGTCTGGAAAGTGGGGGTCTCCATCAGTGATTCTCTTCCCCAACTTTCCCCACCATTAGTAATCAATATGTTTTAAGATAGGCTGGAACTACTCACCTGCAAATTTCAAGGTGGATACTCAGGGGAAATGGGAGGAGAAAGCAATTCAAAGTGAGGGGAAAAAAACCCACTTGAAATGAAATATTTAAAATAGGATGAGGAGAGTTTTAAAGCTCCCTGGGATTTGGCTTGGAAGTTGGAGATCAAAAAGAGAAGTCACAGAGCCCCCCAGAGCCTCCCTGACTTCATTACTCCACAGTTACATAATATGCAGCCTTGGCTGAACCAGGCATCAGAAGTTCCTGCTGGGACACCCCTGCTTTTTTTTTTTTTTTTTATTAAATCTTTCTTTTTACAGTTGCTGCTGTGAGAGGCAGAAAGTGCTTGGGGCTGGCGATGGACACTGAGAGTATGTGGGCAGGTGGGTGGTTCAGGATACAGACCTTGGATGGCAGACTTCTCCCAGGAGACTTCCCCTGCTCTAACCCTCAGAAAGGGGACCTTAGAACTGCCATCCCACACTCAAGTCTTGGTTTCACTACCATTTACCCTCCCAGATCTGTCCTGAAACAAACGTCTTGGTTGATGTCCTTTGTGCCCATGTGAGAAGAAAAGGCCTCAATGCCAAGGTCACCTCCACTAGACGTCTCAATACCCTGCTGCTTCAAGACTGGGAGGCTGCTTCTGTTCCTCGCTGGCCAGTGATGGCGGGCAGTGGGAAGAAGGGCATGGACATATGTTCATGTTGCCATAGTCCTGCGGGCTTCTTGCCCAACATCTCCGGGTAACACTTCCAAGTGCTCTAGGGGTGTGTTTTCTTCTTAACTACCGGGGTGGGGGGAGGGACAAATGCACTGGCATGGAACTCACCAGGCATTCTCCATGACCCATTCTCATACCTCATCAGAGTCTGGAGTCCAGATGAAGGACTGGGTCTGCTCCAGAGGAGCCTGATGAAATCAGCTTCATTTGGAACCTTGTCCCATAGGACATCTGACCTGCCATGCAATGCTCAGCATGGTGTCTGACAGGCTGTATGTTCCACCCAAATGTAAGGCCCACATGGACACAGGCTTCACTGGCCTGGTTCACCATAAGTAGGTACCCAATAAATACTGAATGGAAGAGTGGGTGAGTGACCCATAGGTCTCCTGTCCAGTGGGGGGCTGGAGGCGTCTGCAGAGGTGGTTTGCTCTTTTCCTTCTTCCCACTCCTCAAAGAGATCCTGGAGGAGTTCTCAGCTGCATAAGCAGCACCTTGGGCAGAGCCATGCTTGGGCTCTTGGCTGAAGAGGACATCAGGAGGAGTGCAATGCTGGA